ATGTTGAAAATGGCCACCATGACTCTCCATGCAATAATAAACATTTTGCTCAAAACGCTGCCACACATTTTGCAATATTTGAGGAGTAATTTGAAGGCACTCATTCACAATTCTTTGTCGCAGGTCTTCTAATGATGTTGGCTGAGTAGCATAGATTTTGCTTTTTAAATGACCCTACATAAAGAAATCCAAAGGTGATAAATCTGGCGATCTTGGGGGCCATTCAATGGCACCTCTTCTACAAATCCATCGACCTGGAAACGTCTGATCTAAATATTGTCGAACACGTAATGCGTAATGTGGTGGGTACCATCCTGTTGGAACATCAACCTATTCGCAATGTACCGCCGATCATTCTGATTTTCAATTATGACTGTTAAAGCAGGATCTATGGCGTACTCCAGTAATTCCAAATACATTTCACTGGTCAAATTTCCTAAATGATCTCAAAAATACCAGCCCAAACATTTAATTTTTGTGGCTGCTGTATATGTACCTCAGGATAAATTCTGGGATTAGAATCGGACTAATATCGGCAGTTATGACGATTTACTACGCCATTTAAGAAAAAGGAACATTCATCGGAAAAGCAAATGTTGAATACAAAATGTTCATCGTTTATAATTCGTTCACTTATATCTTCACAAAATTGTAGTCGCCGATCAAAATCGTCTTCATTCTTGTACCAGGTGAATTTTATACGGATGAAAACTATGGGCCTTTAGAATCCGTTGGGCAGTACGTCGACTAACACCACAGACAGTCTCCAATTTGCGGGTACTTAACGTAGGATCTACATAAACTTGCCCTAAAACCCCCACTTCTATTGCTTCGTTCCTTATGGGATTTTGAATGTTGCCTTTTTTATTGGCGACTGACCCAGTTTCCCGAAATTTAGCTACAAGTTCTAGAACATATTTTCGAAGCACGTTACTGTTCTCATGTCGCTCATTAAATATTTCTGCTGTTCTATTAGCGTACTGATTATTTCAGAAAAATATTTCGATAATTTCAACTATTTCTGCTGTGGAATATACCATGGTTAATTTATGTAATAAAGCGTTACAAGTTATTTTAGCAACAAACTATGAACTAAATTCCTATTTAAAATAAGTACCAGATATTTCCTTATCTTTCTTCAAGAAATAACTTTTTTGTCACAAAAAACGCTCCAATAGCTATTTTCAACAACAAAATGATAAACAAACCATGGAAGAAAAGCATTAACTTATCAAGAAAATTCTTTTAGCCAAATTTCTTCTGAAAGTAGTACAAACTAATCTGATGTACCTATTAAAGTCTACTTTAAGCTTTAAATCGATAAATCTTCAAAACTACTGAACTGAAGCTTATGTATTTTACATCATTGTAAAGGGAATTGAAAGACCTTTAAAATAAGGTATCACTCGACCCCCTTTTCCATTTAAGATTTTAGGGTTGGTGTCACCCCCACCCAGGGGGCTGCACGTGTTAACGTGATATTTTGCCAGGCTTCTGTCCCCCTCGAAAACAAAACCGACGGGTCTGAGCGTTTTTCCAAAAAAAAAAACTGAGCTGCCAGTAAATGCGTCTGTTTCGTTTTCGATGCGCCACCCTGTATGTCAAAATTTCATCTTCCGTTGTCGGTGACAAAAACAGAACTTATTGAAGATCTGGAACTACGACATGGTTCGTGTGCGTGCATATAATTTAGGAACTTCTGATTCTACAGAATATTTGTTGAATTCTGATCATCTATCTGTTGACCACTATCGCTAAACATGTTTGTGACCGCAGATCGCCTTGCAACGTTCTTTGGACGCTTTAGAAATATTCGAGGATGCCAGTTTTTTGTGTTAAAATACTGACGCTTTATAAGAATCATGCTCCTTTCTCAAAATTAAGTATTTGAGATGTAACTCTACATGACCAGTTGCTTTATACAAATGAAACAAAGCTCGCAATAAGATCCCCTCTTCGATTATATCTTTTGTCGGCCACGCATTATATGTAAATCTTTAACTTTAACAAAAAAGTTAAGTTAAGCATTCTAAATCAATTATTAATAATTAAGGTTTCCCTGGATGATTTGGCTTACAAATAAGGCTGCAATCCTTCCCGATTTGTCTTAGTTTAGAGATCATTCGGAGGCCGTGCTGAAGAGCTTTTAAAAAAAATGTTTTACAGCATTATGTTTCATGCAGCAGCTTGTGTAACTTTGTTACAAGTGTTTTAACTTAAATCATGCGGATACTAATAAAACAAAGAAAAGTATATATTTGAATACAGCGCTTATCAAAAGGTCCCGACATCTATAAATAAGCCAAGGAGAGAACTGAGAGAAGCTTTAACCTACAAACTACGAAAGTATACAGCAAGAAATCGGCTTGTAAATCCAAGGTTTACGGATTAAAATCTGTTCTCATTAATACATTATATTAATTTATTAATCAACATAAATGAAGAATAAAAATAAGTTACTTTCACCAACAGCTTGCCTTCAAACTGGGAACCGTGTTTATGGAAAGTCGGCATCGTCCATAGCCTAGACTTATTCAGCTTCAAGGTGAAAGGTTGAACATTAATTCGCAAATAATTCTAATAAATACGTCAATTAACATTTACGTTTACTATAACGCGAATCATTCATATGTCGGTTTTTCCCCAATATCTGATAGTAAGAAACAATTTCGCGATCTCTGACTCAATAAATGATGAGAAGAGCAATAAAATCAGAAAGATGCAAATTAGTGTTAGTTTTTGCACAATTATTTGTGAATTTGCCTAATGGACACTCAGATTATATGGAAAATTGGACGTTCAAATCAATGGGGATAGAAAATGGCTCATCGTAACAATTTGAAAAAAGCTTTTTGGGGTTGTTTGATATTCTCATCTTCTTAGTTGTGAAATTCTTCCTATCTGTAAATGGTGGCTCCCAGCAATATCAGCTGCAAAACAGCTACAAAACAAAACTGGGGGAGTGTGAATGGAATACTCTCTGCAATGCCTTCCCACGCTGAAGGATACAATCCCATAAGAAAATGGACGGGATATCACCCGAACCGAAACAACTAAATGTAAGGTACCAAATAAAAGGGGTACTACTCCATAAACTGGTGTTTGGGGTCTAATATCCCAGAATCTGGAAGTTAACGAAATGACGCCAATACCACAATCTTCGCAGAAAAGTAAAATGACGTAGAACACCTAACTTTGTAAAAGAAGGCTAAAATAAGTGGCCTTGAAGAAGGTATGTTCGATAGGAAATCAGAAGGAACGGATAAAAACCGGTAAAGAAGGTATCTTGATAGGAAACCAAAAATAGGTTAGTACGTACAGAAACCACAGAGTGGCGCGGATTGCTAATGGGCGGAACGAACTCTACGAGGGACCAACGCTATTTTATCAGGAAATGTCTGAGATAGTCGTTAATAAAATACTATAAGTGTCCAAAATATTTCACCACAATACTGAATCGCCGAGAAAGAAAAATAAAATACGTATGAAATATCAATAAACTATGGTATTTGCCAAAAGAAAATCGTTGAATAGGGTTTGGCCTAGGAATGGGCACTCTACCATTAATGAAAAGAAATTCAAATTACTGGTTAATGATTAAAATAGTAAACAAAAGGTTGCGTGATTTTGGTACGTTGCAAACTTTCAGATGGGAATTTTTATTCATGTAATTTCGGTAGTTTGTGAAGCTCCCACAGATAGACTCTCTGATCCATCACTACATGAAAATAATTTTAAGCTGAAACATCCTTCCAAAAACTCACATAACACAAAGTACGATGAAAAGACCTGCGAAATATCGAGACCGGTACGCCAGTCGGTGAACGCAGTAAACAGAAGCAGAGACGGAGTACTTAAAACATTTCTTTATTATTCTCAAGGATTACCAGGATTGGGAGCGTATAAATATAATAACATCACAAAATTGAGCCCCCTTCAACCCCTAACCCCCAATAACCTCACAAAATCGTTTTAAAAATAATCAGGAGACTCGTTTTTTTGCAAAGCAACGATGTCACTGTATCGATTTTCAATAACTAAAGGTTTCTCGTTCTTGGCAGACCCTGTGTAAAAATTTCATGCCAATCCGAGCGGAACTTTCCATGTTATAAACGGGCCATGGATTAGCGCACATACTGACAGACGGATAGACCGAAGAAAACGAGTTACATGGTTTTTCGTGATGTCTCAGAACATAAAAAATATATCTTATTTTCGAAATTTTTCGTGATTGCGAAACTTCCTCACCAGTAGGCGTGGATAATAAAATACCTCTCGCATTCTGGACAACGCAAACAGACAGAGCAACAGTACAGAGCTTTTTTGCTGAAAAAAAAACTTTACCATCTAAAGACAAGGAGAATTCTGAGAGTTGCTCAGAGTCTTATGAAACTAAGAACCCTTTCCAAGCGGCATACGACATTTATGAAGACTGGCACGCCCGCCGGTAAAGCCGGGAAACATACGCAAAGAGATTGAGGTATACCATCCCCAACCCTCACAACTCCCAACCCTAAATTTTTAACCCCTACAAAATTTTTCCTAAAACCTACCAGGAGCCTCTGATGCGTCAAAAGACGAAGTTCGAGTTAATTTTTTTTTTTTTTTTGTTTTGATCCTTGTCTCCGTCGACACTGGACTGATTTTCAAAAAACAATAAAGCATCTCGGTCGTTTACGTTTCGCCCCAGAGGTCTGCGTAGAATAGTATGACTTTAAAAAAATTTATATAAAGTTACGTAGGCAATAAGCGCCGATAAGACAGCTTCGAAAAACTTTGGGTATACTTGAGAAAGGCTATAAAAGCTTTCCCGTAAAAAATAAGGCATTATACAAAAGTTGTTAGTATTTCAGAAATAGAACGTTTTCTAGTGAATAATTCCATCCTTCAAAAAAGTTATGAAAGTTTGACACTCCAAAAATAACAGTATTTAACCTCACGGACCCACGGGTGTTTAGGCTTTAGGCGTCGTGGTGGTTTAAATATATAAAAGTACTTACAAATCGAAGATCCTATTTAGAAAACCGCAGAAGTCACAAAATGAACAAAAAAAAGAACCGCAGGTCAATCGGATTGTGACCTCGCGAATCGAAAAGGTTGACGCGCAACCGAAGACTAGATAAGACGGCAAGAAACAACATATATATCAAAATCGCGCATCAGCTCTTAAAAAACGAAAGAGAGGGACAATCGGTGACCGCTGCCGGTCGCGGGTCGGGGACCCGAAAAAGAGTACCGCGATTGGAGTACAGAAGTACGACTGTAGAGAGGGGGCTCCACCGGCCGGTCCCCCATTGAAGCGTAGGTGAGTCTTCCAAAGCGCAGCAGTTCCAGGGCAATGTTAACCTGAAAGTCAAAAACTGAAGCTTACCGTACATGATCAGTTGTGTCGGTATTTTACTCTGCATGAATTTTGCAGTTTTGGATTCCTGAGCGTTGATATCAGTTCAAGCCATTAATTCATGGGATTCGGTCAATTTGAAATATTTATTAAAAATGAAACGTTTCGGCGACTTCAAACGCCATCTATAGTTTCTGAAACAGAAACATTTTTCTGCTATTCTCCTTGCAATATCTTAAACTTATCCTGTGGTTTACATGTCGGTACTCCGCTATGTTTATCTGGCTAGTAAAACCTCATGTATTGCCATATCTTCTTTACTGTAGTAAACATTTCAATCACAATGGTGATTTTCTTCAGTACAATCTTCTTCTTTTCTCCAGCTCGTCGATAGAGATCGACTTGTCACTCTAAATTTGTTATGTTCGATAATGTTAGGAGGAGTTCGTGTTGTATACTATCTCTCGAATTTCTTAGAGCCGTTTTACACACAAGAGAATTACTCCCTAAATTATGGTCATAATTATGCCGAAAATTTGCATGGAAAAAATATTGAAGATTTCCTCTACAACCTGTATGACACAAGCAAACAAAATTTCCGAGTAATTCATATGATACGCCTGCGCATTAGAGTAATATTTTCGAATGGACATAACCTTAACGGGTATGACGCCCAATATAATCGGAAAGACAACAGACGTCGTTGATTTAAATTTATTTTTGAATTCGAGATCTTGGTTAATATTATAACTTCTCAATGCTTGGACTATCGCATCCAGAGCCTGACTCCGCAAATTTCTGTTTTTATAATTGGGTGACTTCACCTTGCACAGGTTTGGCCATTTTTGGTACTCCTCCAACAACAGTGTAACTTCTTCGCGATTCCACGACATTATGAATAAACAATAACAATGAACGCTTCTTCGTAGATTCGAACAGGACCACACCCACAAATGTTAAGTGAGGTTATGTTGTTGACGTTGACATTTGATAATGACATGCACGGAAATAACCCTCTGCGCCGATTCTCGCGCATATTCTATAGAACGGGTTTTATATTTTTACCATGAAAATTTTCATAAGAATTCTTTTACGTGTAGTACGACAGCAAAAATTTTCGGCATAATTATGACCATAATTTTCGGAGTACTTAATTCTCTTGTGTGTAAAACGGCTCTTAGTTTGTGTGATACATACTTGACATTAATTACCAGTTTTCGTAAGTGATGCAAGAGATAACATTTGATTGAGGTGACTCCAGATAGCATCTGTAAGTCTATCAGTTTCTATTAATTTGCATTATGGTCAACTGTGAAATTTGCCAAACATTGATAACTCGATATTTCTAGCGATGCATGTAAAAAGCAGTTTCATTCTTTGTGTATCTCAAACACAAATATATTGGGCGTCATAAGTACTGTTCCTGGGTTGTTTCGGAGATGTAAGAACTGCATTCCTAGTTGCAGGATGATGTTAAGAATCTACTGAGTGGCGAAATTGACGAGGCCATGGCTTCTTTCAAGAATCAAGTCACGGAATTATCTGCTGATATATCAAGATCTATGAAATCATCTCATGCAGTACCTTTTGTCAACAAACCTGTAGTATTCCGAAGACGTTAGAAATAAGACCCAGCCAGCATTAATTATTCAGCCAAAAAATGGGAATCATCAAAGCAAACAAACCAAAGTTGATCTAATACAGCATGTGAATCCTTGTACTGCGGAAGTTCAGTTAGCGAAAGTGAAGGATGTTAGGGATGGTGGTATTCTTATTGGGTGTAAGTCAAAGGAGGAAAATCAGGACAAGTTGTCAGATAGTTATGTGATACGTGAAATTACCGGTGTTAACCCTCGGTTTCGGCTAGTGGACGTGTCAGATAAATATTCAGATGATAAATTACGACACTTGTTATTAAAAGGAAATACAGATATCTTCAAAGATGATTTTGAATGTCAAATTGATAAGCACTTTCCTACTAAATAAGACCCTTCTGTGTATCAGGTATTGTTCATGTTAAAGCTGGTTACTTGTTTGTGGAGTATGAAAATTGCGCCGTTTACGATGCTATTGATGTGTATCGTTGCTTTAAATGTAAGGAATTCCATCATTCTTCTAGCAAATGTAAAGGCGCGGTTATTTGCCTACTTTGTAGCGAGAATCATGACGTCAAACATTGCAAATCACAGAGCCGTAAATGCTCAAACTGTATGAAACTTAAACGGATCATGCTGTTTGGGACAAGCAGAAATGCAAGGCATACAATGACGACCTTGATAGATTGAGGCACCTACTCAGTCAATAGCAACCAATTTATCCCTTCATCGTAACTCACAAGGGACTAGATTCTAATTATAGTGATAGGCTGGAAACTCTAATATACTACCAGAATGTTCGTGGACTCCGAACAAAAGCTGCTGTTTTTTATAATGCTATTTGTAGGTGTGAATATCCTAACATTGCAATAACTGAAACCTGGTTAGATTTCTCTTGTAAGAGTAGTGACTTTTACCGGACAGATCGGGATTATGTAACCACTGGTTGCTCAAGAGGTGGTGGTGTGTTGATTACGATTGATGACCGTTTTACAGCATCTTTGATAGGGATACCTCAGTTGGCAGTACTTTCTGCCCTAAAGATTAATGTTGCAGCAGTCAAGGTTTGTACCAACTCCTTTTCTTTTGCAATGTCTACATGCCACCTGATAAGCCCAATGGTGAATATGAGCAATTTTATGATGCTCTCTTGTCATCGCACGTACTATTTGATAAGAATTTAGTTATACCAGGGAATTTCAACATAACTAACTACACTTCGTATGTTAATAGTCATGGACGCAACGCAAAATTGGTATCGTTGAACAACTTTGCCGAGGGCCTTGCTATTAATCAGTTTAACAATATTTCAAATTCTATGGTAGTAGATGTAGTGGTTTGTGACAGATTGAACATTCGTGGGATCCTAGATGAAGACGCATATCCCCCTGTCCCCCCTGTCCTGAATATATGTTTTAATATCAATTAAGTTTCAATACTAACCATAATTTTCCAGTTTCATTTATGAATTCTCATAATTTCCGCAAAGCCAACTTCCCCCAATTATACAATTTAATTTTAGACATGGATTGGGCTGCTTTAGATGGCTTTCATGACGTGAATGAAGCTAGTGAATTCTTTTATAATAAACTATACAATGCTTTTGATACCTGTGTTCCAAAATATGTCCGATCAACGAAACATAAATACCCACCCTGGTTCAATTCAGCAATAATTAAGCTTATCAAACGCAAGGAGAAGATTCACCGATCTTACAGACGCAACGATGATCCTGAAGCGTATCAGACATTCAGGAAACTTAGATCAAAAATGAAGATAGATTCAGATCAAGCATACAAAATATATGTCAGACAAGCTGAGAATGAAAAAAGAAGAGATTCGAATAAATTTATAAATTTTGGGGCTTCTTAAATTCTAAGCCAAAATCTACTACTACTCAATATTACTAGATTTGAGGAGGATGAAGTTGTCTTAGCCTTGAAGCAAATAAAACTTAAAATGGCTACCTGACCGGATAATGAACCAGCTTTTATTTTGCGTGACTGTGCCTCTGTGTTGGCGTATCTTTTGACCGTTTTATTCAACTTGTGTCTTACCACCTGCACAATTCCAGAATTATCGAAGTTGTCTAAAGTATGTCCAATACATAGAAACGGCAGTAGGAATGATGTATTAAATTTAACATTGACAGATGATTACAAATAGATGTGATCTACACATACTTCTCCAAGGCTTTCCACAGAGTTGATCACGGGATGCTATTGCATAAGCTGAAATCTCATCGATTATCCGAGTCTCTAATACAACTATGTCAGTCCTACCTCACTGGAAGAAACCAATTTGTGATGTTTAATAGCATCAGATCGTCGGAGTATGTAGCCAATTCCGGAGTGCCACAAGGCAGTAACCTAGGGCCTCTATTGTTCGTCATATTTGTGAATGACATAGTTAATGCTGTTGGCGAGAATTGTTTACTTTACGCTGATGATCTGAAGATGTTTTGTCGTGTAGCTAATGAAGCTTGGTGCTGACAAAATAATCTACCATTAAACATCAATAAATGTTACGTAATGTCTTACACTTTGAAGAAAAATCCTCTGTTATTTGACTATACCCTGTCAGGTACCTCTATTCAGAGGACTTTATGTGATATTTGACTCCCAACTAACATTCGTCAAACACATTGACAGCATAATTTCGGTGGCAAACCACATGTACGGCTTTATTGTAAGAAACTGCCGTGACTTCACTCAGAATACCACCTTGAAGTTGCTCTATTATGCATATGTTAGGTCCAAGCTTGAGTATGTATTGCTAATTTGGAACCCGCATCATATTATTCATATAAGAAGGCTTGAATGTGTTCACAGACGTTTCTTAAAATATTTGTCACTGAAAGTGGATGGCGTTTACCCGCCCATAGGTATAACTCAGGATTACTTACTCGGAAAACATTTTTCTGTTTAAATTGATCAATAATGCTAGTGATGATTTAGCTTTCTTGGGTCAGTTAACATTTAACGCACCTAGGCTGACATCCCGACGAAACGTTACGTTTTATCTACCTGCGGCACGGACAAATTATATACATTGTTTCCCTTTACATGTGATGTGTAGGAATTACAATTCTGCAAGTAACCGGATTGATATATTTAACTGCAGAATTGCAGACATAAAAAATATACTAAGTGACATATAAATCCAAACACCCAGTTAAAATGGTTTTATTTTAATAAAATTTTGTATAAGTACTTAATGAAGCATAATAAGTAAATGATAAAAATTTCAAAATGATTGCACTGCTTTAAAGCCTTTTGACCTTTAATAATGTGTGGATGCACCCTGATGTGCGACGCATTTTCCAACGCGCCTAGCCAAGCTTCTGATCAGGTGGTCAATG